CCTTTTTTTTTTTTTTTTTTTCATAAGGAATGATAAAAATTTATGATTTGTAAAATGTTCAATTGATATCTCTATATACATGGGAAAATTTAGATCATGTCTAATGTTAAATTACAAAATATTTTGTTGTCTGTGGACTATCATCAAAAATGTTAACAAAATTATCACTAAAAAAATATAGGTTTTAATTTTGTTAATAAAATCTATATTACTTCTAGGGATCAAATGGTTTCATGAGATTATTTAACTAAATTCTATCATTATATTTTTAGAAAAATCCCAAAAAAATTATAGTGATGAAATGTTTTCTATAATTTCTATAGCGTTTTTTTGTCAGGGTATAAAAAAATGAGTGGTCGTTAACAACATTTGAACCAGTATTTTGGAACTTATTACTATTTTTATATGTATACTGAATTTCAGGTGCAGGTTAGTTATTTTTTCATTATGCATTTCTCTGCTACACTATTGCCCCTACCTACATATAAAAAAAATTTTCTTTACATTTTATATAAGTTCATAAATACTTTATTTCCACACTTTAAATACTCAAAATAAATACATCATTTTCATTTTATTCAACTACTATTATTATCACAGATGAAATTACTCATTAACACTATTAAAGCAAATAACTTGAGGGTACTAAATTAGACTAGGTTTTTAAAGCTTCATCCCCAACCCATTTAATTACTTAAGTCCCATTTATACTGAACCTTAAACAAACACTCATTTTCTTAATGAGATTATATAAAAATTAATTTAGTTAATTATATTTCCATTTAAGAATGTAAAATTAATACCTTTACAAGACAAAGGAATGAACATATAAAATACTTTATGATCGATAAATTAAAAAAACATGTAGCTAAAAGAAACCTTAAAAAATTCTTAATGTTATTTTTAGTTTTTGATTAAATAGTTTACCATAGCAGATATACTATATATATATTTAATATTACATTTATATGTACAAAATGATTCGTTTATCAGAAACCACTCAATTATTCACAAAATAGATATAATGTTGAATAAAAAAATAATTTTGGTTTTTTTATAGTTGCACATATTTCTTTATTAATTACTTTTTTGTATCATCCCTAAGGATAATATAAAATAATACAATTTTTTTTTTAATCCGTATTTTATTTGAATAAGCATGCATTATTAATTAGTTAAAAACGTATCAATAGTTCGAGTTAAAAAGGGTACAAACTGCAAAGTTGAGACAATTTTTTTTTTTTGGAAGTTTAATGAATAAAAGTTTTAAAAATTGCAAATCATAATGTTGATTATTTTCATTTTAACATTTTTATATCAATTCAATTCAAATTACATTTGAATAATTCAAATTTTCAAAGTTATTGTTATAAAAAATTATTATAATTATTACATATTTATATAATAATTTAAAATTATTTTTTAATTGCTTCATCTAACGATGTGGTTATTTTTACAGTTGGTTATATTTTAACCATATCGATGATCTATTTATTAATAATATATAATATTAATAAATAAATTATTGTGTAATTTTTATATCTATAACAGATGGGGTATTTTATTTTTACTTAGTAAATAATTCTTTTGAATGCTTAATAGTCAGAAATTATTTGATCCCCACCTCTTCCTATAAAAAATAATTTTTTGTAGAATCATCTCTGTATCTATTTAAATTCATTATTAATTTCAGTTTAAACAATATTAACTGAGCAAAATCTCAAAAAATGTGGCTGTCTGATGAATAAAATCATTGGGTGTTTTAAAAGAAATTTGTTTTCTTTAAAAAGTAAGTTTTATTATTATAATTATTAAAATATTTCACACAGAAAAATAATATGTAGTTAAAATTTAATACTAAGAGAAGCATGTGCAATTATAACTGAGGAGGTTATTTATTGCACTATTCTTTTTTTATCCTATGAATCAAAATGGCATTGAATACATCAAGTTAAGAAATTTCTAAGAAGGCAATACTAAACTATTAAGTATACACGACACAAATGAGTTATAGAAAAATTGTGCATGTTGTTTGTAAAAATTATTTTTAATACAATTCTTTATTAAAAATAATATACTATCATTTAATAATAATCCAAATGCCTCCTCATTAGCTACCTATTATTTTTTTAGCATTTGAAAAGATAAGTCATTGTTGAGTATATCTTAATTGAATATTCTGTTCTTCCTCCCAATGAATTTCTTGAAACATTCCTAAATGTTTTTCATTTAAGGTCAGAATATCATGAAAACTAAACAAATTTAAAGTAGTTTTATACAAGCAAAACTCAATTTGAAAATAATAGCTGACTTTATTCCATGGAGCATATTTAATGATAATTATAACATTTAAACAAAAATATTGTAAGTATTTTTAATGTTAATATTTTCATTGTATATTTATATTTATTTTATGTCTAAAATCAAAGTATTTTTTTTTAATTTCTAGTGATTATACTGATACTAAAAATGCACTGAATTTGTATGCAACCAGTATAAAATGATGACCAACTTATATTGTATTAAAATATTAAAAATTGTCATTATTAAAGATTTTTATTAAAATAATTAATAGTAAAAATATTTACTAGAATAAACTATTCCTGTATGCAGCATTTATTTGTAAAATCAGTGATCTACTAATTTCTTTACATCTTTTAAGAAACATTGTTTTGAATAATAACAATTTAAGTATTAGTTGAAATTGTAATTTTAAACTTATGATAGTTGATGTCGTTTCAACATGTCATAGGCATGTTACCAAATTACTTCCATTCTCTAAATACTTTAATACTATTGTGTAATTAAAAATTTTTGTAACAATAAATATGTTGATAAAATTTCTTAAGCATAGCTAAAATAGAATTATTTTAACTCTTCTTTACCTTGCCTTAATCCTAACTACTTGGGATTGGCCACCTTTATTCTTAACTTCTACTTGTCATTATCTCTCACATTATATACGCTCACATCAACCGTCCTCATATCGCATTAAATAACATCCCTCCATTTCTTTTTTTGTCATTCTCTATACGGTATATGTAAAATTTTCCAACAGTGGTCAAAATTTGGTAAAAATAGAATTATTTTAACTAAAAAATTTAAATCTGACTATTTTCAAAAGCTAATGTTACTTTTAGTAATTTTTCTGAAAGGTAAACAAATTAATAAATTATTGTTTGTTGTTTTGTTTATTAACACTTTTCAGAGAAGCACTCACTGTACTATGGCATAATGTGCAAGTGATCATTAATAATCACATAGGCACAATTGTGCCTATAATTGAAAAACAGACAGCTGGCCAGCCAAGTACTGAGCAGGTGCAGCAGTCATGATTATTAACAATTTAATTTTTATCCCTTCATTAGACATGCCTCTTTTTGGAACCAAAGTAGTCACAGCGATCTCGTAGATCAATGCTACATACTTACTACTTTGGACGCGGCGATCTTACAGATCAAAAAATTCACTACAGGCTCCTGAAGCAGATAGCCAATGACTAAAGCGCATTAAATCCCTCCTCCTATAGATTGAAGAAGGTAATGTAAAGGGAAGACTCATGGCTTTAGCCGTTTACATGTATGAAAACTAACCTATCAAAATTTTTCAAATTGGCCGCAACTAATGAAGGGTTAAACGATAGGATAATAGATATAAATAATTTGACGGATAATTGGTAACATGTTTAAATGTGCTAGAATAATTTAATTATATAAAATTAAGAATATTTTAATTCAAAATCACATAGGTTTAAATTCAAATTATTTGATACATAACCTGTCTAATAAAATATATATGTACAAATAAAACTTTCAACTATCTTATTTTACTAATTCATAGGACCATAGAAACATGGGGCTTTTTTTTTTAGTTATTTTTTTTTTAAATTCCTAGATTAATAAATAAAATAAAGTGTTTTTTAGTAGTATATCTCTTCTCAAAATAATTTTGAATACTTCATTTTACTGGCAGTAAAAAAAAAACAGTTTTTATTGTTGTATATTTTTTATATGCAAGTTAAAATAAAAATGTTTAATTTTATAGTTGGCGAATAAATGGAGCAATCGTATAATTTAATGTGCAATACAAATTAAGTTTTATTAAAAAATTGTCTAAGACTTATCACAATAATAATTTATAACAGAAAATAGTTATACAATATTTAAAAAAAAAATTTAACAAAAAAAATAATCTAACCTTTAAATTAAATTTAAGATTAATGTTATTATTTAGTTTTAAACAATTTTAAATATGCAATTTAATTTTTCTATTGAAGATATAAAATAGAATATCAATATAGTTGATACAAGCATGATTTCACAGTAAACTTCATACAATAATATTAATTAAATGAAACTGTGATATATTTGTATGATTATCATTACAACGTTCCAGAATTTAGAATCTATTAAAAATGTGGTAAACATACTTTACCAGCAAATAGTTCTGAAATTACTGTAACCCAAAGAGACAGTACAAATAATATATAGGAAATTCCAACTTGATGGCTGTTTGGTAGTTGGTATGGTTGACCTCCAATCTCTGGAATGTGAAAACCCATTGGAAATACAACAGCAGCAAAACAAAATAATACCACTAAAACATTAAGTTTTTTTAAAAATTAAAAACTATTGTAACATTTGTTTAAATAGTATATAATAATTAAAGGATACTAAAATATATTATTTTTTGTGTTCTTTTCCAAAGTTAACAATTAATTTGAAATATAACTCACAATGCAAATAAAGATTTAAAAGAAAAAAATTTTAACTACTCCTTCCAAACAAAAATATTATATCTTTATAATGTACATTTTTTTGCTTTCAAGAATTAAATCTTCTTATTCCACTTTAATTGTGTATTTGCCTACTCAATCTAAATTAAGAGCATACCTATTGGTGTTCAAAAAATATTCTTCCATGATCGCACATACCACTCCTTCTGTTTCTAAGTTAAAAGTGGATCATTTGCAAAGTAATGTAAATTATTAAAAATTAAGAATGAACATAGCATATTTTCAATTCTAATCATTGTTTAACTGGAGATCATAGAATTTTCATATAGGAAATTTGGTTGCACAAGTATAGTCAATTTTAATTTTTAAATAGAATTTTAGTAATAAAATTAATTTTTCTCACTTGCAGTAAACCCAACCCATCGGGCATAAGGTATAACATTACGATCCCAATGAGATGAAGCTAACAGTATAATAGTAGTAGTAATACATATACATCCAATGAATATACTAACTAATGCTAATAACCATTCAAGACGTAAATCTGGAGTAAAACATACTTGTGGCCTATTATATAAAGTCATACATGTCCACATTAATCCCAATCTTGTATCACCTAAAATTTAATTAATTTTTTTAATAATGTAAACAATATATTAAAATTGTCACCTAACATTTTTTATTGTTCAGTTAGTCGAAATGAGAATTCCTAGCTATTTGGGGAAAAGGGATCAAAGAGGCCAAAAGCATCAACTTTTTGAACTAATATTGGACATGTAATCTCAACATATTACACCATGCATATTCTCCTATTTTTCCAAATTTTTTTGTTAAATTTTACCATGTATTTCCATGATTTTATACATATCCCTTTTGGTCTAAAGTAAAAATTATGATAAAAAAAATAGCATGAACAATTTGATCATAAAGAAACTTAACACACTTTTCTCCAACGCTGAGAATAGTTTATAGTAAATTATATCTAGATATAATTTTACATAAAGGTATTATTTGATAGTGATTGAAATCAATTCAAGAATCAATATTTACTGGTTATGACTGTTGAATAGCAAATTATTTGAGTTTTATTGAGAAATTTCATAAAATTAACATATTAAATGTTAGGCACCACAGCTAAAAATAAGTATAAATATATCAACTTAAATGTACCTCCAACATCAGTAATAATCCAATCGGGCATTGCCAAGCTAATAATTGCAAAAACATCAGCTAACAAAAAGAGCGTTCCTGATATAACTGTCAATTTATCCATGTTACAAAGATGTCAATCTATACAATTCAGTTTACAATAAATCTCTATAAAACCTACAGTTTACTACTTCAGAGTTACAGTCAATACTCTTACTCAATTTAAGTAGAACATTTCTATTCCAAAATAAAAATTTTTCAAAAAAAAAGTACATTTTAATAGAAATATTTTTATGAAATTATGAACAATTTCAATATTTCTTAGATAGACGAAAACGATCTAACAAATTATATCGTTCAATTTAGATTTGTAGACTGCAGATATTTAAAATATTGATGTCAGTCATTCCTTATCACTAAAGAGTTGTTGTAAACGCACGATTTTAGATAAGACTATATATTCCTATTATAAGGTAAATATATTTATAATGTCTATATGGTAAACACATTTTGTTATTTTGTAATAAAAACCTTGATAAATTTATAATTATTTTTTAAACTTAATGGAACGCGTATAAATCTAGACAATATCTCGCTAAAATTTAATGTTATTAATGTTGATTATTTTTTGTTAACTGAAACTGGGTTAAATGGTTCTATTTCTGATTCTGAACTAGGTTTTGATAACTATAATGTATTTAGATATGACCGGAGTATGAGTACTAGTACCAAAGGCGTAAAGTATTTGAGTAAATGTATTTGAATAAAAGTATTCAAATACTTTCATTGGTATTGAATAGTATTTTTAAATACATTTAATAAAAAGTATCTGAGTAGTATTTTAAATACAATTATTTAGTATTTAATACTGTTTAATATTCAGTACTATTAATATACTTTTAGCCTCGATGCGAAGCTGAGAAGGTATTGGTTTTACTAAGATGTGTTTTTTTTTTTTT